AGCTGGCAATGTACAGTATTGTTAGTACCTGGCATAATGGATAGATTGCTGCACTTGGAGCCAAGGAAACTTGTATTTAATACTTAGACTCTAGGTTTGAGACCATGAATGAGTCCCATAGCACCTTTAAGCCTCAATTGCCTCATCTCTAGAACAGGTATGATATGAATAGCATTTACAGAACCAGGTAGTTGTAAGGACCAAATGAGATAATACATACAAGACACTTTGTAAGCCTTAAAAAGTACTCTATAAATAACAGCTATTCATCTAATAGATGTTCTTTTAAATACATGGACAGTTTCATCCATGCATTGCCAGCCCTGGGTATAGTAGACTCAGCATTGATTATAAAGTCAAAGGACTTAGATTAAAACAACCCCTCTTCCTCTTATGACCTATGTCACCTTGAATAAGTTACCTCCTTGATCCTTACTTTTCTCATCTGTAGAATGAGAAGGTTGGACTAGATGACCTCTAAGGAACCTTCTCTCTAGGATTATAATCCTATTACTTTACACATAATAGGCATTTGATACATTTTTAAATTTATATCCCAGAAACCTCTCCTTCAGGACTCAGCTTAGGCACCAAAATGTTTTCAAAGCCTGTTATGATTCTTTCACTGTCAAGACTCTCACTACCATCAGATATCTAGTAATTAATCATCTCTCTAGGTACATGGTCTCATACACAGCTTCCTTCCTTGTCTGTCCATCAGAGACTCTAAGTTCTTTAAAAGGAGGGATTATCATTTTGTCTCTATTTCTACACTATTCATCCTAGAATGCTTCACACAGTAGGATTTTAATAAAGGTTTGCTGAATCCGTTCTGAATAAGTCTGATGCAAATCTCATTGTATAAAACGTCCACTGAAAAGCTCTTTGTATATGAAGACACAAGCAAAGAAGCAAATCCATCTATCATAATTAGGAAGATCATCAATCAGTAATATCTAGGTTTCCGGAGTGTCTTCTCTTGATCCTGGCATCCAGTCAGGCAGGAACCTGGGGACACATTGAAGAAATCCCAGTGAATTATCCTTATGTCCACATGGCCAGTGTCAGCATTTTAAAGTAAGTTGTTTTTTTTTCTTGAAAAAGGAACAAAAAATTGCATTTACTTCCAAACTTAAAAAAGTACCAGCAAAGCAAATATTCCTGTCAATGAAGTAGTTGTTGTTCGAGTTTTTTCATCAGTCTGAGGCCACATAGGTTTTAAGCAGTTCTCTGTAAACTCAGTCGGTCTGTCAAAAAGGGTGAATATTTCACTGGGCAAAGAAAATAATGGGTTGAGCAGCATGTAATATAAAACTATATGGGGGCAGCTAGGTGATGCAGCGGATAGAGTACTGGCCCTGGATTCAGGAGGAACTGAGTTGAAACCCAGCCTCAGATACATTACACTTACTAGCTGTGTGACCCTGGGCAAGTCACTTAACCCCATTGCCTAGACAAAAAAAAAGCAAACAACTATATGGACTACTTGAAAGTCACGGTGTTAAAAGCTACCATATATACATATGTATATAATTTCTGTCATATTATATGGAGTAGTATAGCAGAAATATCACTGGATTTGGATTCAGAGGACCTAAATTTAAAAATCAAACCTGCCACTTTATTTTTTTTACCTATGTGACCTTGGGTAAGTCATTAAATATCTCTAGGCCTCAGTTATCTCATTTGTAAAATAAGAGGGGCACTTAATTATCTCTGTGGTCTCTTCCAAACTCGATTGTGATCTTATGGCCCTGGCTATGCCATTTATTACCTGTATGATCATGGGGAATGCCTTTACCCTTCCTAGACTTTAGTTTCCTCCTTTGTAAAATGAAAATGAGGCCCAGATGACCTCTTAGGCCTCTACCAGCTCTAAATCTAAAATCCTCTGATGATCAGATCATTGAAACATACTCAAAAATACTCAGAAAAAAAGCCTATCAAATGAGATGATTTTTATAAACCCCCTTAATCAGCAAATCTAGTACTTGTTAGAAGGGGGGAGGAGGAGGAGGAAGAGGAGGAGGAAGAAGAGGAGAAGGAGGAGGAGGATGAGGAGGAAGAACACTGACATTATAGAATGCTTTCAGATTTGCACAGTGCTGTCTTCTGCAAATGAAGAGCCTGGAGCTCAGTGATGTGCCCATAGTCACCCAGATGGTTAGTAGAAGAGGTGGGCTTAGGGCGCAGGATTCCTTTCTCCTTAGATCCAGCCCAAGTTGACTTATCATGTGCTATAGTGGATTAAATGAGATAATGTGCTTAAAGTGCTTTAGAAAACCTCAAATGACTATATCAATGTCACCTATTATTTTTCTCCCTTCTATTTTTTTTTCATTTTTTACTTTCGAAGTACAAATGGAAACATTTGTCTCCTAAGGAGAACTTAGCTTTTTAAAATCATTTACATCATCAGTGTATTAAGGAGGTAGATATTTGCTTCATTGTACAAGGGGTCATGGGATGAAGATCTGAGGCTGACCTTGTTTTATCCATGCTCCATGATACTGCCTTAGTAAGTGGTTATTAACTGAACAGATTGTGAAAAGAAGATTCCTTCATCAGTTTTCTGGACTTGTAGAGAGAAGTCTTATTTTTATGGATGTTTACAATTAATATTGGATTTGTATTTGAGACCAGGCTTTTGATTCCGTTGGCATAGAGAACTTCCCTGGGGGATGTCACCTCTACCCTTCCTAATTCTAAGCCTAAGGTTCTTCCCATCATCTACCCTTACATTTTTACCAACATATTGTCTTAGAAACTTGTCTATAGGCACTGAGAGGTAAATTGACTTGTGTAAGGTCACACAGCCACTACATCTAGAGGCAGGAATTAAACCCAAGATTTCTTGACTCCAAGGCCAATTATCTGCTAGACCAAGACTCAAACTTTTTGGGTGCCATGGGCCCCTTTTGATGGTCTGGCAAAATCTATGGACCCCTTCTTAGAATGTGTTAAAATCCATAAAAATAAAATATATACATAAGGAATCCAATTACAATAAAATGCAATTATCATTTTTTTTTAAAAAAAAAAAGCTCATAGACCCCAGGTTACAAATTCCTCACTAGACCGTGCTGCCTTTCATGATAAATGATAGACAGTAAAATTCATTTTGGTGGAAGGAACATATGTCCAACTGAAGACTTTTAAAATCCCATTAGAAAACCTCTTAAATCCAATTTCAACTCATCTATTGAGCCAAAAGAAATTCACTGATACTTTATCACATGAAAATCCTCCTAATTTCCTAGGAATTAAATTTGGAATTTTAACTGTAAAATGTATCTTATATAAATTTATATGTATATATATATATACACACATATATATACATGCATATAATATATATATATGCATATATATATGTATATGCATGTGTTGTCTCCCCTGTTAGAACACAAGCTCTTTGAGGGCAGAGACTATTTCCGTTTTTATTTTTTCTTTGTATCCCTACCTCTTGGTATAGTGTGTGGCACATAATAAGTGCTTAATAAATGCTTTTTGATTTATTGATATTCTTCTGCTTCCCTCCTAAAGAACTTCTAACCTCGCTTAGCATTCATGATTCAACCAACATAAATCAGGCCTTCTTCCAGTGTCATCTACATCACACATAGGCAGGAGTAAGAGGTCATTGCTAGCTTGGCCACAGAGAGATTAAAAAAAAAACCTCCCAAAGATCATAGAGAAAACTACCGTATGGGCATGATCCATGATCATGGAGAAATGAAATTTCTACTCTCTGAAATCTCGAAGTAGATTTTTGTCATGCCACTCTGTGTTGTTGCATTGGAAAGTACAGAAGTAGTAGTGGGCCCACTAACTTCCTCTTAAGTGCATAAAAGCACATTGAGAGGCTGATGAACCAGTGCATGGGGTGCTAGAACTGGAGTCAAGGAGTCAAGAGGTCCTAAATGAAAAGTCTGCTTCAGAGACTTGTTAGTTGTGCAATCCCAGACAAGTTACTTAATGTCTCTGTGCCTCACTATTATCATCTGCAAAAGAATCTGTACCTTTTGAGGTTGCTTCCCATTCTAAATGTATGGGCTTATTATCTTCAGTTAACTTAAGAATGATTCTAGGATTAATAAAAAAAATGCTCCTGGAATATTAGAAAAATGTCATGGATGGGAGTTATTAAAATAAATAGGAAGTTGAGTCAATATAAGGGAGCTGATCGTGTGACTAGAATGCTCTACCTGGGGTCAAGAGGCCCTCATGTCGAATCACACCTCTGGCATTTACTGGCTGTCTATAGCTAGGCACAGCCCTTAACTGCTCTATGCTTTAATTTCTTTATTATTCAAATGGGCATACTGAATATCTGGAGTCTTTACCTCTTGTAGTTATTGGGAGGATCACAGAAAGAATTATAAGCTATTGAAACTTATATATGCTATAATAAGCATGTAATAAGTAATAAAATAAAGTTAAATAATTAAAATAATTTAATTAAATTGAAATTAAATAATAACTAAGCATAGAATAATTAAAACCATAATAACTATTAAAGCTCAAAACTGTACTAAGACTTTGGGGGCATCCTGTATACTGAGTATTTGGTGAACTTTTGAGTACTATATAAATGTCGTTATTGTCATCTAGATGCATTTTTTATAATGAAAATTAACTCTGTTGGCATATTCAGGTCACAGAAGCAGTGAGAACCGCGCCTATTTAAAGGTTAGCTGGATATTTATAGTGGAAAGCCCTGTCTTTTCTTATATCTTGATACTTAAGGCTAGAATACCCCAAATGAAATCTTTCCCCCCTTTCTTCCACCGTTAAATTTCTTATTGAGTATCTAGTAGGAACAAAGGATGATGGGTGAAAAGCACCATAAAAATAATAAAATGAACAAAAAGAAAGACCTTTTGTCAATATCCAGGTAATAGGACACAGTGGCCTTCTGGACTCTTTTCTCTCTGTGTGTGTTTGCATGTACATAAAGTTTACACGCAGTAACCCTCTTACCTCCTGCAACAAAAGATTTATTTTTCTTTCAATGATATTTGCTTTCGATTTCTTTTTATCTTTCCTCTATTGCATGTCTCCTGGCATAATTGCTTGGCTTTTCGTTCCCGATCCAGAATTTCTTTGGGGAGTAGGCTTTTCTCATCAAATGCTGCTCTCATGCTACAAAGGTGATGAGAAAATCCACATGAAAATTATAGTTTGGTAAGAGGCCTGGGAAAAATTAAGCAGTGATAACAAAAACATCAAATTATACTTGAAACAAAGACTTTTGGCTTTTACATAATTTGAGGGGAAAGTCTGGCCTTGAGGGTGTTGTTTCTAAACTTCTGCTATTACTTTAATTTTCATTTGCATTCTACATTCCACACAGCTAATTTTTATTTTATTTTATTTTATTGAATTTGCCTTCATCATGATACAAAGATCCGCTATTAAGGAATAGGGGAATAAGAGTTAGTCCATTCTAACTTTATTCTTTTCAATCTACTTGCTGCTATCAAGAACTCATAAAACACTAAAAACAAATTATCCTTTATAGAAGTAAAGCAATTAAAGTAATCAAACTACGGTTTGAACGTTTGCATGGTCAAATGAGTATCTAGTGCAATCATATCCTTGAAAATATTCTGATCTGTAGGGATGTGGGTTCTCTTTAAAAAAATGTACAGATTGTCCACAGGGCTGGGGATCAGGGTTGCCATGGAAGGACATAGAAAGTGTACCATTCATTCAAGAAGAGAACTTAAGCCTCTCATTCTAGTTCTTCTTGCTTCACGATTAGATGAATCAACCCATTTTATCCCAATTGAGTGGACTATCTGTGATTAGCTTCTTTGATACCTCAAAAAAAAAAAGCTATGATTTCATCAGTGTAAGAATTACTATCATTGACACAGATCACAAGATTGCCACCATTCATTCTGTGAGATGCCTTGGCCAAAAAGGGAGAGACAAAGGGGAAGACAGAGGGAAAGGGAGAAAAGGAGAGAGAGATGGAGAGACCCCTTATGATAAATACATGGAGCTAAGCAATACAAACGTCCTCATTGGCCATGTCCAAACATATCTGTCTCATTTAGTACCCTGAGTTCATCACCTTTCTGTATGAAGATGGGCATCATGTTTCATCCTGGGTCCTCTGAAATCAAACCAACCTCTCCTTTTAGAGGTAAGAAAACTGAGTACTAATGAGAAGTGACTTGCCCAAAGTTGCATAGTGTATGATAGAGCAGGACCCTGAATTCAGGTCCTCTGACTTCAGATCCAGGACTCTTTCCATCTATCATCCTGCCTTCCATCTGAAGCCACTCTAATTCCCAAATCTAGGCTGTTACACCATGTTAAGTGTTATACGTCATGTCTGACTCCTCATGATCCCATTTGGTATTTTCTTGGCAAAGATATTAGAGTGGTTTGCCATTTCCTTCTCCAGATCATTTTATGGATGAGGAAACTGAGGCACACAGGGTTAAGTGCCTTGCCCAGGGTCACAGCTAGTAAGAGTTGGAGGCCAGATTTAAATTTATGTCTTCCTGATTCCAGGCCCTGCACTCTATCTATTGTACCACTTAGCTACTCTTCTTGGAAAAAACAAGAACACCTGATGAGAGACTGAAATGAGACCTTGATAGAACACTGACATTTAAAGAAATAAATAAATGTATGAAAAACCATTTAGTAAGCACTTACTATGTGCAAACCCCTAGGAATACTAATAGAACAAGCTAGACAGTCTGCTTACAAGGAGTTCATACTGTAATTGAGGATATCAACACATAAAAGAAGTCCTAAGGGATCAGCAGTGAGGCAGATAGTAAAGCCCAGAGATCCTTAGATTGTGTCAGAGGTCAGATGTCATTGTTAGGGAGTCTGAAGGGCATAGAGACAGGGCAGATGGTAAGATGACATATCACTATGTGGCCATTGAAGCACTTCTAGACGAAATAGCACCACTCAAAGGGATAAGCACTGTGCTTCCTTTCGCCTAAAAATGGCACTATAGAATATTGACTTCTATTAGTCAATATTTGGATTCATCTGCAAAAAGCTACAAATGCCGTCTCTGAAATCATAGGAAATTCTTGGTTCAGAAGGGCTGTCTGGAGATGGAAACCAGGGAATGGCATTTGAAAGTTGCTCATAAATGTTCTTGTCACCCTTGGGTCTCAAATACAGAATTCCAAAGGAATCATATCATGGCATCATAGATATAGAAAAGAAAAGGACTTCAGAATCCAACCACTTCAGATTAGAAAATAGATGTCTAGAGAGGTGGTTACTTGCCCAAGATCATACAGGCAGTACATGGCATGGTTAGACTTGGGACTCACATTGTAACACACCCACTGGCTGGTTGAGTCGGGAAGAAAGGTCTCACCAAAAGTACAGAGTACAGTTGGTGAGAGAGGGCTAGCCAAATGAACAAATGAGAGATATTGTCTTCCCAGAGATCCACATTTCCCAAAGTTAACAGACAAAGGCATCACCAGTCATATCACTGAGGACCTCCTCACCCAATGCCAATCATAACCAAAGACCCACAAAATGACCCTAGATGACAAATTCCAATTTCTTCTCACTCTGTAGCATTAGCATCTATTAGATTTACACTAAAATCCCAAGCAATTTTATATGGCAATCTCAATGCATCAATAAAGATATAGAGACCATCTGCTCCTAGAGTATAAATAAAAGGAAATCATAGATTGTAGATTTGGTTGTGAACCAGGGATGTCAGAAGCCATTTACTTCAGCCTTTTCATTTTACAGGTAGGGAAATGGAGGCCAGAAAAGTAAATTAGTTTGCCCACGATTATACAAGGACAAGTGGCAAAGCCAGGATAAAAAAACCATGTCCTCTAACTCTAATCCAATTTTCTTTCTAATGTATTGCACTACATCTCACAATCTTTTCATGCTGCCTTCTTGTGAGCTCAGGATCCCAGCACTGTTGGTCAAAGGGATGGTTTACATGAAAACATTATACAATTTATAAATTATTCTCCTTTTACTCCACTTTCCAGCCAAAATGACCTTCTCTCTGTTCTTAATACAGGACACTGGATTTCCTGTCTCCACACTTTTCACTAGTTGTTTCCTATACCTTGTATGCACTTTCCTCATCTCTGCCTCATAGAAGCCTTCACCTCCTCCAAGATACAACCTCCCCAACTCTTAGTGCCTTTTCTCCATAACTATTATGCATTTATTTTGTATTTCTCATTCATTCATTCATTATTTGTCTTTTTTTTCTCAAAGAGGACCAGTGACATCAGGAAGGTGATACTGTGACTTGCAAGTGAACTGGATTTAAGTGAGGGAGGGCTGTGCAAAGTCATCAGCTTCCTCTCCTCCAGAGCCATCTGGGTCCAGTGGCAAGATATAGATCAGGAAGACTGGAGATGGATGCAATGGGAAACCTTAGCTTTTTTGAGCTAAGGTCTTTCCCAGGTTTCAATTTAATTGAGACAACACCCATTCAGTGATTAAGTTTAGGTAAGAAATGAGGTGAAGAGTTGCCTCTTTTACCTATTCAAAAAAAAAAGGATAAGTCTGGGGGGGGTATAGCTATATATACATATACATATACATATATATGCATGTATATGTATATGTGTGCATGTGTGTGTACATATATACACATACACATATATATGTTATATATACATATAATATGGAATGTAATTTCCTTGAAGGTGAGAATAATATTTTTCCTTTTTTTCTCTAGCATTTGCTACAATATCTGGCACATAGCTGATATTTAATAGATGATTGTTTATTCATTGACAGTGAAAGTTTGACCATTACTCAACTATTTCAGGCTTCTGTGCCTCCATCCTGATTGGCTAGTGAATGGTAGCCACCAATGGAACATCCATTTCTCTAAACACACAGCTTAGGCACAAAACCAGTTCTCTTAAGCATTCCAGACTCCCCTTGTGCTTTCCCTAATCCTAACTGTAAGAGAAGTTGAAAAGAAAAGTGGGAAAAGCATTGAGTGAAATGAGACCTCAATTGAAATTCCAACCTTGGCATTTACTAGTTGTGTGCCCATGAGCTAACGCACTTAACTCCTCTATTTCCTCATCTGAAAAATGTAGATAACAACTTTGGTGCTCACAGGGTCATTTTAGGAATCACGTGAGTTGATATTATAAAGTGGTATATAAATGTCAGCTCTAATTACCTTGGCCCTGCTCCTCATTCAGATCCCAGCATCATAATTATAGAACTGGAAGTCCTTAAGGGACCATCTAAACTAAGACTTCTAAACATTTTTTATGTCATGGAATCCTTTGACAATCCAATGAAGCCTGTGGACCCATTCACAGAATGTTTTTAAATGCATAAAATAAAATATATAGAATTGTATTGAAATAAAGATGTTATTTTTTTTTTACTTATCCAAGTTCATAGATGCCCAGAAATCTAATCAAGTTAAGAACTTCTGATCTAGACCATTCCCCCCCTCGTTGTACCTAATTGACTTGGGAAAGTCACTTAACCTAAGCAAATGTATTACATTCACAAAACTGGATTCCTCTGAGACACCCCAAACACAATATTTTCTCTATACTGGAAAACTTTAAAGAGGTTCTGAAGAATCCTTTGACAAAGTGTGAACAAAGGCTAGGCCTCAGTAGTTTTCAGATTTGGGACACATGAAATGTCATGCTGTTTAAGCACCCAATGAGGACAGCTAGAAAACCATAGAGTATGGAGGATCCTTTTAATTTCAAAAGAAGGAAATGGAGTAGAGAAAGGACATTCAATACCCAGAGGGAGGGAGGGAGAGAACCTAAAAAGTGACAGAGGAACCATAAAGCACCAGAAAATAGGCCCAAGTTCCAAAAGTTATGGTTGCAAAGACTGAATGGCAATCAGGCAAAAACCCTCTCTTCTGGATGGCATACCTGCCAAATAACTTCTCACTTGACACAATCATAGAGATTGTATGAATTAATATTAGACCTGGCATAAAGGATTAACTGAAGGCTAGAGTGATAGTGAGTATTAAGAGTGTATGGATAATTATGCTTTTTAATCTTCTTTTCTAGCAGTGAATTTTTAATCCAAGGGTTTACTCCTTATGAGGAAAAGATCAGTTTGAGTGAAAATGTCAGAAACAAAAACAAAACAGAAAACAAAAAAAG